ATTATCTTATTGAGAAGATAATCATATTTTTATTATAAGTAAAATATGTATAAATTATCTTATTGAGAAGATAATCACATTTTATTAGAAGTAAATCCTATATATATCATCTTATTGAAAGAATAATCAGTCATATAATTTCTTGAAGTTATAAAAAGTTAATAATTGCTGTAAATACAGTTACTATTACCATTTTAAAATAATTACATAATATAATCTTAAAACAGTAACAATATATAATTTAAAGATATTAGATTTTACTATTATTATATTTTATATAATTTTATTTTATTACTAGACTTATTATTAATAAATTTTATGCAAAAACTAAATTAAACTTTATAAAATTATTATATCTAAATGCTCTATTTCTAGTTTACTTATAATTTAAGATATAATTAATTTTTCTTTTATTATCTAAAACTTTATAATTCAAGTTATAATTAAAAATAATTAATATTATATAAATATACTTAGATCTTATTAACTAAATATTATAAATTTCTGATTTTCTAATTATGACTAAGTATATTTAAATTAATAATTAAGCTATGAATGAAAAATAAATAATTGATAAGAAAATTATTAAGTTTATAAATAATAAAGAGATTTAAAAGTCAGAAAATAATAAAAAATTATAACTATTAATAAAGATAATAAATATTTTAAAAGAAATAATAAAGATAACAAGATATTTACAATAAAATAATTTAGTAAGAATTAATTTTGAAATTATGAAAATATTAAATAATTTAAAATATTACATTATTAGAAAGAATATTAAGTTTAAAAAGCAATCTATCATCATTAAATACTTTAAAAGCAATAATTAATTTTATTAATTAATTATTTAATAATATTATAATGTACATTATAATGTATATCATGTGACTTAATAGTAAATTCACTATAAAACAATATTTCTTTTTTGTATATCTCTCTTTATAGTGTAGAAAACTATTGAATTTTTTGTATCCACTATAAAGAGTGTGACTGTATACCCCTTTTACCCTGCAGAAAAAAAGGGTTGGCAATAATTTTTCCGATATCATACTGCGCATTTCAGGTGGCAAATGCTGTTCTAATGCCATTCGATGATTTTGAAAGAAAGCATCAAGTTCTAATTCCCTCATAAAAGATGGTCGATAATCAACCATGGGTTCTTCTCCAAGCAACACTTGAGCAATTAGAATACATTTCTATTGAAATTTAAGGTATTTCTTTGATTTTATTTCTTTTTTAAGTTCATCTATATCAGCTTTCTCGGCCTTAATCTCAGCATTCTCGACCTCAAGCTCGGTAATGCGCTGTTCATGCTCGGATGACATGTACGACAGGAATAATTCAATGTTATGTGGTAAATGTAAAGACGTTCTGTTAATCTCTGTCGCTGGCTTAGCCAAGAATCCTAGGAAAGGTTAAAGAAATCCGAATCTGGTTGAGGATCATTTATCGAATATGGAAGGAAATTAAAATATTCGTAACCTATTAGACCTTTGGTCCATTAACGATTTTAAATTTCTCGTTTCACCCCCATGTTCGATTATTTTAATCTCAAACTTGGCAAGCTTTAGTTCAGATTCCATATCAAAATAAAGCCCATTTCCCGAATCCTTATGTTTTAGTAACCAGATCGGTGTTTTCTTTTTCGGTTGATTGGATTGCTTCATAAACTTCAGTACGAGAGAATTTCTTACCTGAAGTAGTAAATCCCACCACACGAAATGGTCATTCGGATTTGAAATTCTGGATTGTTCTAATTTACTGGAACTGAAGGTTTTTTTCTCGGCTCAAAGCGGTCTCACCAAGAGTAAGCTTTATAGAAGGCTCGGTTGCCTTTGCTATGCGTTTAAGAGGAAAGAGATCAGGAGATGTTTCTGATGGAAATGAGAAATTAAATCCTTCTAAGCTAGCTTCTTCGAGTAATGTTTCAAAGACAGATCCAATTTTTGGGGTGGCTTGCTTTTTTTACTCGTATATGGGAGTTATTCTTTTCATCAAACTTAGCCGTTCCAAGTATTCGCAAGGAAAATGATCGTTTGTTTGCTGTGTTATCGATAATACTATTTTCCCGAAGACGGAAGTTTTTTACGAAAAAGCTCATGAATACTGCGACCTGAGTGATATTTGGAAGTCTCATACCAAAGGTTGAGATATGGCAATGGTTATAGTTTTATGATCCCATTCTGGGGATATCTCTAAACACGTCTTTATAAAAGCACGATTAAGTGCATCTAGAACCTCTTTACCCGTAAGCTTAGGTTCAATGGTATCATATAGCTCTCGTGGTAAATCAAAATCTATAATAGGACGGAGTGACTCATCCCCATCAATGAATTCATGTAAGGAATCGCCTTCACGATCTGTGAGTACGACTTCTATTCCATCCTCATTGTCTGCGCCAAGAAAATACACTATCATCACGAATTTTATATATGCATGCACCTACATCGGAGGCGTCGAGGAACTCTGAAAACTCTGATTGGGTCATGGATTTATGTTAGTTTAAAATGAAAATTAATCCCGAAATATATAAATCGATACATAAAAAACCAATCGTAGTTATCAAAAATGGCGTTTTATCGATGCCCGTATATTCTTAGAACTGGTGAAGTTTGCAATCGGGGACGCTACCAGCCAAAAGGATGTGGAATTCTCCTTCACGTGTACCTTGCAAATGAATGCTAGAAAGAACCGTAAAATGGAACAATACTATTGGAAAAAGCTGGCTGACTTGGCTTCGACGCAGTTAGTGGTAGTGACACTAGTAATACTAATCAAGAAAGAAATAGAACAGCCTAATAATCTTAAAAAACATAACGAACGTGTAACCAGCTCTGTCACCAGTTAGTATATGGGATCTAGTGACAACCGGTAACAACAAAAATCCGTCCTAGTCAGATTCAGACATACATTTTCACTAAAATTTATTTTTATTTTTTTTTTATTAAAATAAATTTACATATTATAAAAAGTTATAATTATAGTTACAGTATTTTCTAATTAAATCCTATAGATTCTTTAAATTCTATGGTGATTGCATAATGCTATCTAATGCAAGTCAGATTAAAATGTTTTTAATTTTATGTATATAAAAAAAATGCACAATAAATTCAGTGCAATGAATGTTTGTTTTAAGCAACTAATGCTTTTTTTTAATAATGTCCATTTTATATTTTTGAATTAATATTTTAATAAATTAAAATGTTCTTGAATTTTGTTGACTTGTATATTTGCATGACTTGGATATTAAATGTGATCCTTGGATTTTGTTAACATGCATATTTGCATGGCTTGGATATTGAATGCAAGCCTTGGATTTTGTTGACTTGCATGTTTGTATGATATGTTTGATTTTTGTTGAATTGCATGTTTGCATGATATATATGATTTTTGTTGACTTGTATATTTGCATGATATGTTTGATTTTTGTTGACTTGCATGTTTGCATGATATGTTTGATTTTTGTTGACTTGCATGTTTGCATGATATATATGATTTTTGTTGACTTGCATGTTTACATGGTATGTTTGATTTTTTGTTGACTTGAATGTTTACATGATATAAATGATGTTGATTTTGTTGACTTGCAATCACCATAGCATTCCTTTCCGCCCGATTCTCCAACCACCCTTCTCCCACCTAACCGTACTTTCACTCCTTTCTGTCCAATCCTCTAATCATCCTTCTACCCACCTAACCGTCTGGTTAAAAACACCCAAGCCTTACCAAGTAACAAGAAATTGTTACTTAGTGAGGCTGGAGTCAGATACTGCCCCAGCACATCGCAGCACTGCATCGGTTACCCCACTCCTATCTCTCCGGCCCTTCAACAAAGCACTGTCGCTTCTCCAGGCA